GCTGTGAGTTTGTCATATATGGTTTTATCCTTCTATTCCGAGGATTTCGAAGGCCTTAAACATAAATGGGTGTCATATCAATAGATTCTCCACAGGTATTGATATGATTATGTGGTTTTTATTCTTCTGTCGGTTGATGTGATGGATTACATTAATTGATTTTCTGATGTTAAACAATCCTTGTGCTCCTGTGATAAAGTCCACTTGGTCATGGTGTATTATTCTTTTAATGCATTGTTGACTTCTGTGGGCTAAGATTTTGTTGAGGACTTTTGCATCAGTGTTCATTGGGGAGATTGGTCTGAAGTTTTCTTTGTTAGGTTTTGGTATTAGTGTGATGTTGGCTCTGTATAAAGTATGTGGTAGTTTTCCTTCTTTTCCGATTTTTTTTGATGAGTCTGTGTAGAAGGCACTAGTTCTTTTCTGAACATTCAGTAAAATTCATTTGTAAATCCAGCCCTCCCTGGTGGCGCAGCGGGTTAAAGCACAGCACTGAGAAGCTAAAGCCACTTCCGCATGAGTTCAAATCCCGCCTGCCCCGGAGGAGACCACATGGTGAGGCAGACCTCTCCTGACCCGCCCGCTGCTCCCCTCAGCAGTGGACTTCGTCGATCTGCCTGTTCTGCTCCCCACTCTGTCTCTGGTGAAGCCTCTCACCGCCCCTCAGCCTCTGGCCTGTACCCCAGTTCTGTATGTACAAATAAATAAATCTTTAAAAAAAAAATTCATTTGTAAATCCATCTGGTCCTGGGCTTTTATTTTGGGGCGGGTTTTGATTACTTCTTCAATTTTCTTGCTTATAATTGGCCTGTTTAGTTGTTCTATTTCTTCTTTATCTAGCTTTGCACATTTCCCCATGTGGCCAACCCTTCATCCCACACTTTCTACCGACCTCTGTGCCATCCCTCTGTGGCACAAAGTGCTGAGGACGGGGGTTGTCCATTTATCTTTCTCAGGGTGCCCTGAGAAGAGAAGTGAAGGAATGGCACATGGAGAACAGTGGTGCAGACCTGCATACAAGCCCACCACATTCAAGGAGACAGAGGACCTCAGGAAGAAGGGGCCCCAAGGAAAGAAAAGGAAGGAAAATGAAAAGTCTAAAGCACCTTGGCTTACTTACTGAATGTAACTTACTTTGTTATGATACTCAGCTCAAGTCTCTTCACCTAACCTGGATTGTGAGCCATTATTTGGGAGGAATGCAGGAGAAGATTTAAAAGATGGATCAGAGCTGCAAAACAGCCCCAGAACCTACCACAGGAGACCACTCAATAGCAGATCTCTAAGATGAACAACCAAGAGAATCAGCAATGGTACGAATGTCAGTGCTGTGGAGGAGGTAGCCCCCACAGCTTGACTACATGAAATGAAAGCCAGGGGCAAAAGAGGCTTGAGGAACTACTTTCTCATGGTAATCCTTGAGGACTATTTGCCATTTAAAAACAATATATACAACATAGTTGAAAGCTTTAACTGGATAAACATGGAATATACTCATGATACTGTTGAAAAATATGAAATTGTATCTGTATTCTGTTTATAATTATATAAAAGATGACTGGTCTAGGTTTGACATGGAAAAATAAAAAATAGTTGCAGAAATTACTTACTTCTCACTCAGATATTTGAAGGTAGGCCACGTGGCAAGCGGTATCCCTGAGGGGAGACCGTCCTTGGGAGGCAGCTGTAACCATTTCTTCTGTGTGGTGGAGGACGGGGAGATAATTGCTGTGCACTCTGCCTCAGGGACAGAGTGCGGTGGGGACGGTCCCTCTGAGGGCTGTCAGTGAGACGGTAAATTGGTCTTGGATTGTAGAAGCCATGGCGTCAGGTATTTAACCTTGTTGTTCAGGGGGACTGCATGCTTCTGGTGCTGGAAGAGCTAAGAAACGTGTTGATAACATTCTAGAAGCATCACTGATTCTGTTCTTACAAGTAAGTAGGAGTGTTGTTCTCAGGAAACTTGCTGAAGTGTGTAATAATTTCTTAAACTGCCTAATATATAATGCTCTGACTGCGTAGATATAGACGATCTCAAACATCCCCTCCATTTAAGACATGTCGCTAGCAAATATTAATATAGATATTTAAAACGCTTAGGTGTTGTGTGTGCTGAGTCAGACACAACTGGACCCGGCATGTGCACTAACAGTACATAAGGAGGTAATACCCCATGTCAGGACTGATGATCTGGCTTCATGTGATCCTCAGCGAGTTGCGAATTCCTCATTTCAGAGTGGGGTCAACAGTTAGTTTTTTTTGGTGTTTTTTTTAAAGATGTATTTATTCATACATACAGAACTGGGGTACAGGCCAGAGGTGCAGGGGCAGTAAGAGGCTTCACCAGAGACACAGTGGGGAGCAGAACAAGCCGACTGTTCAGGCTGACGAAGTACACTTCTGAGGGGAGCAGCAGGCAGGTCAGCAGAGATCTGCTGTGCCTTGTGAATCACCTCCAGGGCGGGATTCGAACTCATGCTGAAGTGGCTTTAGCTTCTTAGTGCTGTGCTTTAACCCACTGCGCCACCAGGGAGGGCCCGGTCAGCAGTTAATTTTATGGAAGAAAGATACATTAGAGATCAAAGCCAGCAACCTCTCTCCAGTTCAATGAAAGACTATCTTAAGACTGAAGGCATGAGGAGGGCAGTGAATCTGAACTCATGTTTAAGATACGTGAGTGACATAAGTAAGGTCATACGACATTTACTCAGCGTATACTCTCAGCACACGCTGCGGGTTCATTTCATTCTTATTCATGGCAACGAGGTAAAATAGAAGATGTTTTAGGTTGTAATTAAAGAAAATTGACTTCAAATTGATTTTTTCTCACCATTTTATTTTGCAGTTTTATATATATTATATACATAGATTACATATGTATATGATAGACACATGATTTCATATCTTCTGAGAGTCTTGTAGCACCACGAATTAAGTAAATATTAAAATACAAACATCCACTTATCAAATTACATTGGACTGTTTGGACTAAGGATATTCATATATTAATGAGTAAATATTTAGGAAAATATCTATTGGGCAATTTTGGAAACCATCAAAAGGTATTTAGAAAGTAGAATGTCAAATTTCTTAGGAAAAAATGTATTTCAACGACAGAGTAACTGTTTACTGTATCACAATCACTCCTCAGCTCTCTGCAAGCTGAGCGAGAAGGGACTGTCCTCCTAGACCGAGGCTATCTTCAACCAAACGACTGGACTATAGGATTCTCCTCCTAGCACGCTAGCCACTCTGTTATGCTTGCTAGAGTTTAGGAGGCATCAAACTGGGGGAGTTTTACATAGGGAGGGGAGTAGGAAACCAGCAGACCCGTGACTCTTGGGCATATGTGATGTTTTAAAAGTTAATGTTTTCTGACTTAACATGCTTTATAGGTATGACCGTGTTAAGCACCAAGTTCAGCGTAGGGATTGCAAAGTGTTTGCATCTAGATTTCCCCATGTGGTCAACCCTTCGTCCCACGCATTCCACTGGCCTCTGTGCCGTCCCTCTGCGGCACAAAGTGGTGAGGACAGCGGCTGATGCTCCTGTCACTGTGGGAGACAGTAGAGTTCAGTGACGGGCCACCTCACAGGGACTTCAACTGGCATTGAAACAAACTGAGTCTGCTATAGCTGCCTTCACTGCGCAGTAAGCCAATGACTACATCAGCACTGTTTTGTAAATGAAGTCCCGTGGCCGCTTAAAGTCAATGGAAGTTCCTTGTTAGACGTCCTCCCCAAGAGGAAGGCACGGCAAAATTAAGAGCCAGCTCTTTACATTTAGCACAAAATTGATGTTCAAAATAATCTCATGAAGTGAGATTCCTACTCCCTGTATTACTTCACAAATGACCTTAAATTCAGTGTGCAGGCCCTCCCTGGTGGCGCAGCAGGTTAAAGCACAGTGTTGAGAATTTAAAAAAGCCGCTTCCGCATGAGTTCGATTCCCGCCTGCCCCGGAGGTAACCACATGGCTGGCAGACCTCTCCTGACCCACCCGCTGCTCCCCTCAGAGGTGGACTTCCTCAATCTGCCTGTTCTGTTCCCCACTCTGTCTCTGGTGAAGCCTCTCACCGCCCCTGAGCCTCTGGCCTGCACCCCAGTTCTATATGCACAAATAAATAAATCTTTAAAAAAAAAAAATTCACTGTGTGCAACAGAACAAAGACAAGAAGAAAGGAGGAAATCCCTGGAGGTTTTGAGCCCTGAGGTTGCTGCTGCGCCCACAGTCTGGTCTGCCAGGCACGTCTTTGTGCCAGCCTGTGTGGTGGTGAGAACCAGGAGCCCCACAGTTCTCCCTACACCACAGTTCTCCTGCAGTGAGCAGGCTTGTTGACTGGGTCTATTAAAACACAAATATGTACACGTAGCTCACAAACAACACTTCCCTAATTACACATTTATAAATAGCTCCACAGAGAAAAAAGGTGTTTCCATTTTCCGACATGTGAGCTTTCTGGAATGAAGTGGAAGTCATTGTGGAAAAGAATTAAAAGGCCTCCTTTGTCCTGACACTGCACCTGTCCACACCACCACACAGGCCCTGAACTGCTGATACTCCACATGTAGATATGTGTAAATAGTGACGCGAGTTCTAACTAGTTAGTGTATGTTAATAGTGTGTGTAACAGTTAATGTATGTAACGGTTAATGCATGTTTATGGATAGAGACCACTGCTTAAAGCAAATCTTATTAGCAATTACTTGAGGGATACAATTCCTAGAAAACTTTAATAACAAAGATGTTTCAAAATTACATTTTAAATATAACCAATATTATCTTTCTCACTGTGCCAAGAATCCAAGGTATCTTATGATACCTTAGTAATCCAGTGAAAGGTAAATATATGCTTTACTAAAATTAAAGATGAAAAGTTGGGAGTAAAAAAGACATGATATATTAAAAGTGATGCATGATTTTATTCGCTAAAATCATATAGGAACAATGAACATTATGCTTTTGCAAAACTCTCCAAGGTTACAAGTTTGAACCTGAGCATGTCCTGGCTGAGCAACCAGACCTCAGGCGGCGACTTCGTCCTCCTTGATCTGTTCCGCGGCACCCCGGTGCCCTGGGTCCTGTTCACACTCACGGTGCTGGACCTCCTGGTGGCCCTGCTGGGCAACTCCGTGATAATCATCCTCATCTGGGCCGACCCTCTTCTCCACACGCCCATGTACTTTCTGCTCAGCCAGCTGTCCCTCATGGACCTCCTCTACATCTCCACGTTTGTCCCCAAGATGGCCCTGGTCTTTCTGTCTGGGGACCATCACATCTCCTTCATTGGGTGTAGCCTCCAGATGTTCCTCTTCAACACCCTTGCGGGCTCAGAGTACCTGCTGCTGGCCGTGATGGCCTATGACCGCTACGTGGCCATCTGCCAGCCTCTGCGCTACCCCGTCCTCATGCGTCCCCGGGTCTGTGCGCTCCTGGTGCTGGTGACCTGGCTGGGTGCGTTCTTCAACGCCTTGATCCATGTGGCCTACACTCTGACTCTCCCTTTCTGCGCCTCCAGGGAAATCCATCACTTCTTCTGTGAGATCCCAGCGCTCCTGAAAGTGGCCTGTGCTGACACTTCCCAATACGAAAAGGGTGTTTTTGTCAGTGCTGTGATTTTTTTCATCCCTCCCATCTCAGCCATTCTGTGCTCCTATGGAAGGATACTGTCCACCGTGCTGGGCATGGGGTCAGGCCAGGCTCTTAGGAAAACCTTGGCTACCTGCTCTTCGCACATGACTGTGGTGTTGCTGTTCTACGGGGCTGCCATCACCAAGTACCTTCTGCCAAAGTCCTACCACTCCCCGGAGCAGGAAGAAGTGGTCTCCGTGTTCTACACCATCATAACCCCCATGCTCAACCCGCTCATCTACAGCCTGCGAAACAAGGACGTCAATCAAGCTTTTAGGAAAGCTTTCAGAACATAGTGAATATAAGGTTTCCTGTACCCAAAGCAAATCCACAATGGTGACGGCGTTTACTGGGAAATGGACTGTTTATCTGTTTTTATATTCTTGTACAACCACTGTCATTATCAGTGAAGAAACTGATTATTAACATGATACATAAAATATAATTTTATTTCTATGCCATTTTCATATTGTCAATTTTTCAAAGAGTACAAGGGAGAGGAACCATGTTATCCTGAAAACGTTTTCTTTAAGAATTTAGATGTGGCAGCGGTCCTCTGCCCACCTGTGACGGCGCAGGGCTTCTTCCCACCCTCTCTTCCTCCGCGGCCGCCTGCCTGCCCATGGCCGGACTTGTCTGCACTGACCTCCCTCAGCGGAGGCCGCTCTCCTCAGGCCGCCCGCCTGCAACCACCAGGCCTCTCAGCAAGTCTGCTCCTTTGGGGCAGCTCTTCCCTCCCCTTGTGCCTGCACACATGTCCTTTCCTTCCCTGTCCCTTTTCTAATATACCTGCTCTTTAAATATAAAAAAAAAAAGAATTTAGATGTATTCCAAAACTACCATTGTGAAAAAACATAATGCTGTCTATTTTAAAGCATACAAAGTTTTTATAAATTTTGAAATATCTCTTAAAATTCTACTTGCTCTAAATCGCTCACCTGGAATTTCCAGATGAAAATTTATTCATATTTATATATATTATTACACATTTTTAACATTTTGGATGTCAAACCGAGTAGCAATAGGAGCTTGGTTTCGGGAGTACAGGAGCACAGCACAATGATTCGCCCTGGACGTGCTCACAGTACAGCTTGGGGCCACACCCCGCTGCACAAAGGCAGCCGTGGGGTTCATCCCCTCACGCCCTTCATCTCACCACCCACACCCCCTCCCGCGCTATTTCAACAGTCATTTATTCTCTTTACGGTGGTGGCATGGGTACCAGGCACGTGTCAGGTGTGGCCATCTCGGTGCACCTGCGCCCCCTCACCCCCGACCCCACAACAGCCACGGCCGGCCCCCGCCTGCCCACACCTCGGAGGCGCGACTCTGTAGTCGGTGTTCAGGAGCTGATTTTCAGGCCGCCTTCCTCTCACTTCATCTGGCCTCTCTGTTGCGCGCGTCGGCGCCCCATCTGGTCTGCCCTCCTCCGTCTAACCCATTTCACTTCGTCCTCCCTCTGCTCTGTCCACGCTGCCCCATCTCCACGTGAGAGAACGCGCAGGGTTCCTGCCTCCTCTGGCTGCTCCCCTCGGGCTCCGGCCCTGCTGTCACACGGGGTGACACTCCGGCGCGCACACACTCCTGCGGCTCCCCTGCCCGCCCAGCCATCGCTGGGGCCTTACGTGTTCCTCACGTGTGTGATGGTGTGATGAACACAGGTGAGCGTGTGTATTTTTGAATCAGTGTTTTCTTTCCTTTGGGTAAACCCAGAAGTAGAAGTGCAGATCATGCGGCAGTTTTATTTCCATTTTCTGAGGCATCTCCACAAGCGGAACATGGGGAGCTGCTTCATTAATACAGTAACATGTTTCAATGTACCTTTGCCCAGCCGCACATGGGGCCCCCTCTCCCCACACCTTAGCCAGCACGTGCTGTGCCTGGTCTTCTTCACCTCAGTACCCCCTTACCCAAAGGCCATCCCCTTCAAGGACCCCAGAGAAGCCTGATAATCGTAACTGTACATAGCTATTTTTCCTATACAGAAACAGCTATGTTCAAGATTAATATACAAATTAGGCAAAGTAAGAAGCTTATAAATAGTAGAACAGAGAGATGATTTTATTAAACACTGATCTCCCCAGAGATCTTACTGTGTGCGAGTAAGGTTAGTCCATGGAGAGGTCATGGACTAACCGTGGTGGAGAGGTCACAGCCCACCCATGGTGCCAGGTTGTTGGGAGACTGAACACCGGTTCTCACACCGTTGGCCACCCTCATGTCTTCCTGGGAAAAGGTCTTTGGATTCTCGATTGTTTTTCATTATGAATTTTAATCACTAAAATGTTGACAAATGCAGCACAGTTTGGGTCAGCTCAGAAGACTCTAAAGATGCCTATTATAAGATCTTTCTGATGGTTGAACCTTACAATTTTTTAAATAATGACTTCAACAAAATGTTCCAAGTTCATTCAAATGATTATAAATCTTAGAGATGGTAAACCGCCGACAACTTTATAAGCTCGACAGACACATTGTGACGCATTTACCGGCATATGTGTTTTTCTTCAGCTGACTCCTAATGTACCTGCTTGCATCCAGCAGCTCTGACCTATTCCTGTTTATGACTGTTAGGCCATAATATCCCTAATGGGGTCTCACGTGTGGACTTTAAGATTGTTTAGATTTAAAACTATGAACATCATTCAGTTAAAATGGGAAGTACATGCCTTTGTTTCTCTGTAGATAATTAAAATCACTAATCACTTTGTGACTTAAATCACAAGCTCTCAGAATGGTCCATCTTGTGCACATTTCTGGAATATACAGAATCTACGCTCTGTTTACATATTAAATGATCCCCCGCGCTCTGAAGCACTAAATACACAGGGATGTCCGAAATACGCAGCTTGGCTTTTGTTTTAAAATTATGAATTAGTTACACGTGCCTCCTTCTGTCAGCCCAGGACACACTCGCCACGCTTTTCTCACAGGGTGCCCAGGAAAAATACCAGAACCTAAAGGAACCCGTGCTGGGAGGTTCTAGCTCTAGTGGGAGACAGATGGACCCTGAAGCCAAATAAACGAGGCGGGGTGGCGCTGAGCAGGGTGGCTCAGAGCGCCGCGCCTGTCCCCTGTCCCCACGGCCTCCACCACGGCTCCTGCACCGAGCAGCGACCACGAGGCGCCTGTGCGGAGCTGCCGAAGCCCGGCGCGCGGGTCCTGGCCGGCTGCGCCACATGCGCGAGCTGTCTGGAGGAAGGAGAGCTGGTACTTTCCCAAGGGTCAGCACTAAGTGGCCCCGAGGCGGCTCCCCGCACCCCCTCCCCAGCCGCCCTAACGCTTCCCGCTCCCCGCCAACAGCAAAGCGGCCTAATTGTGGGCTGGAGACCAGGTTCCCCAAAGCCTGGAAAGCAGCAGCCACCGCCACTATAACTGGGCGGCCGCCCGGTCCTCCCGGAGGCAAAGTCCTACACGGACACCGCATGTCCGAGCGAGTTTAAATCCTACTTTCCGCTCTATTTTTCATGGGAAATGCCTGGACAGTCGTCTGAGGGGGAAGGAAGCCGCGGCCGCACGAAGTGGCCCCGGGGTGACGTTCCCAGCTCGGGCTGCCAGTGACCGGCCTGAACACCACGGACTCCCAGCTGCTCCAGCCTGCGGACCTGGGGCGCTGGGGGTCCCCGCCCCTGGGGAGGGCCCCGGGAACCGCCACCGCGAGGCCGGGCCCTGAAGGGCCGCGAGGGAAGAGCCCGTGGTCCCTGCGAACGGGAGACCCCAGCGAAGACGCGCCCCCTGGGCTGCTTCTGGGGCGACTTCTTCGGCTGGCACCTCCCGCCGCCCTCTGCTGACAGCCTGGGCTCCGGCTCCAGGACCGCAGCCCTGCCGCCCGCAGCAGGAGGAGCCGTCGGCTGCGGAGGCGCAGCAGGGCCTCGGGCTCCTCCAGCTCGCCACCCCCGGCCAGGCGGCGGGGTCGCGACTGCCGTGGAACTGCCCAGGCGCGGCCGCGGTGCTGTCGGTCCACAGAGCGACGGAGAGCTGGCAGCGCCTACGACAGGGCTGGAGCACGGTCCCTCCCGGGCCTGGCACGGTGAAACGCTTCCTTCTCTGACCCTGGGCGCCCAGGCGAAGCTTCCTGTCCCCCCAAGCAGCTGCCGCGGTGATCCTGCGCCAAAGGAAGCCAGTTCTCACTGGGAAGAGCCGAGGGCCTGGGCGGGCGCCACTGGGCACATTCCAAGCCCGACAGTATCGCCTACCTGCTGCTGCTTTGGTTTGCTCTGTCTGTCCCTAGCGTCACTGCGACAACATTCAAAACTTTTGATAAGTTCGGGTGCATCTTTGCTTTTTTCTGAATTGAATGAGTGTCCACCTGTACTTGGGGCTATCTCCACTTGATAAGCAGTCAGTGCACGAATGTCTTGAATGTCCTGATGAAGAGGCAAGGTTTTATACCCTCACTTCCTGCACGCAGACCTCCCATTCAAAATGAGCCACCCAGCGACAGCAAGAGCACAGTTTCTGAAAGGAAGGGCTGGCTTCTGAGAGGCAGGTAAAGCAGTGGCCGGGATCCGGTCATTTTGTTGCTGACCATTTTATGGTGAGTAGAGTTTCCATTCTACTCTTTTCCCGGAAGTTGTGTTCCCACCTTCCCGGGGCAGATACCGCCTTGCTCTTCCTTCTTGCTCCCTCCCGCCCAAGCTCTCTCGCTCTCTCTTTCTCCTCTCTCCACACACACACACACACACATTTGATCAAAAAGGGAAAATACAATTTCCTAGCACTGACAAGCAACCACCTGATACACCACTGAGTCAGTTATATTAGTCAGCTTTTATTTATATTTTAACAACTCATTCGCAAACTTCCCTTATTTGAATTGACTGTATATCCCACATGCACAGAAAAAAAACAATGCTAGGGAATCCATAAGATCGGTGATACTCCTTCTCTGTAAATACTAATATAGCTTTTGCCAATTCATAGGCAATATAGAATCAAATGGACAAATACATGAAGAATCATGTAAGCTATTTGACCAAACCTGTCAAGCAAATCTGAATTGTTTACCTGAGTGACTACGCAAGAGGACATTTTCCACTGAGAACACAGGCCCAGCCTAGCCTGGGAAGCTACTTTAAGTGGAAGGAGATAATTTGCATAAATCATCTCAGTGTCTGCTTTTTTCCTCTTCAAATAATAACTTCACTCTATATCCAACAATAATGTGTATTTTAATTTCCTCACTTGTCAGGTGTCTGTTGTCCAACAGATACATTACGTGTATTGAAATGGAGGGAAATCTACTTACCTAATATTATTATGTCATAAATAATCATCATTTGGTTTCCCCTAGGATGCAGTCAACGCTGTCGCACGGAACCTGCAGATACCATCAACTCTGCTATTTTGCGTAAAGTCATGAAGGCAGAAAATCTAAGTGCTGGGACAGATTTTCTGCTCCTCGGTCTTTTCCAGCATGGCCGAATGGACACTCTGCTCTTTGTGGCCATTGCCATCCTCTTTACAGCAGCTCTGACAGCAAACATCGTACTGATCCTCCTCATCCGGCTGGACAGCGGACTCCACACCCCCATGTACTTCCTGCTCAGCCAGCTGTCCTGCATCGACATGATGTACATCTCCACCACGGTGCCCAAGATGGCAGTTAATTTCCTGACCAAGAGCATGGGTATTACTTTTCTAGGCTGTGAGGTTCAAACATTTGTGTTCTTGGCTATTGGTGGAACCGAGGCTCTTCTTCTTGGCCTCATGTCTTATGACCGGTATGTAGCCATCTGCCACCCACTGCACTACCCTGTGCTCATGACCAGGAGGATCTGCTGGCTCATGGTCTCATGTGCGTGGACAAGCAGTTCTATCAACGGCTTCATACACACCGTCTATGTGTTCCAACTTCCATTCTGTAGCTCTCGGCTCATTAATCACTTTTTCTGCGAAGTCCCATCCCTGTTACCACTGGTGTGTCAAGACACGGCCCACTATGAGTACACAGTCCTCCTAAGTGGGCTTGTTATCCTGCTGATACCATTCATGGCCATTTTGGCTTCCTACGCCCGTGTGCTTACTGTGGTGTTCCAGATGAGCTCGGGTCAGGGACAGAAAAAGGCCGTCTCCACTTGCTCCTCACACCTGATCGTGGCAAGCCTGTTCTACACGACCTCTCTCTCCACCTACACACGGCCACACTCGCTACGTTCCCCTGAACAGGACAAAGTGGTGGCTGTGTTTTACACGATTGTCACCCCTCTTCTCAACCCATTTATTTACAGTCTAAGGAATAAAGAGGTGATGGGGGCCATGAGGAGGCAGCTAGGACGATGTGTATTTGTGCATAAAATATGATCTTTGGCGCCCTCACTCAGGTAAACAACATGAAAGGCTGTGCTTTGAGTACTGATAGAAGTGCCAATGACTGTTGCCATCTGTGAACAATGATAGTAGGAAGAGGAATATATTTTCTGTGAAATAGTTTTAAAGTTCTTTGATAAATTTGCAGTGAATATCAATCGCTTTCATAACAACTTGTAATGGTATCTAAAATCTCATCTTGGTTAAAGGTAAGTACATTTATTTGTCCATGCAAGTCTTACATGACTTAGCTAACTGGTTTATAATGTAATGTAAGCCATCAAGAAAACCAGCCACACTGAGAAGCAGTGTGATAAAATCCCTGTCTCTTTAGGGCCACTCCAAATCTAACCATAACTTGCCTCTAATTTTAAGTTTTGAGTTAGTTATTCTCTTGGAATGTTTATAAGATCTCCAAATATATCCATACAAAATTATCAAATACTTACATTTATTGTTTGAACATTATAAAAATCATCCAAATATAAGCCATCTTTCTGAGAACTGATTTGAAGTGACTCAACATTTTTTACATGAACTTAGTTAGCTGAAACAGAGACCCATTCGTCTTTGCTCTTAAATAACAACCTATATTAAGACTGTAACATACATGCCCATTTATTGTCAGTGTATATTTGACTTTTATCCAGCTTCCTGATGTTACATATGGTGTCAATACCTCACAGACAAAACAGAATTGAGAGCCCATAAATAAACCCACACATGGAAGGAAAATTAACTTACGACAGAAGAGGCAAACGCATACAAGGGGGCAAAGCAATCTCTTCAAAAATGGTGCTGGGAAAACTGGACGACCACACACAAAATCATGACACTATCCAGACAGCTTCCTACTGACACATACAAAAGTTCAAAACAGATCAAAGACTGAATGTAAGACTGAAAACCACAAGCGCATCAATGATATGCTCTTTGCCAATAGCCTAGCGATGACTTCAGGTCAATCCAAATGCAAGGGAAAGAAAAGCAAAATTTAAAACAATGGGTTATATCCTACTAAAGTGCTTCTGGGCAGAAAAAGAACAGAAACTATCATAAAAGTAGAAAGACACCCTACCAAGTGGGAGGAAGGATTGTACATCATACAGCTGCAAGGGGCTGTATGAAGGAAACAAATGACTCACTCAGAAAACGAAAAGAAGAGCTGAACAGGCTCTCAGCAGAAAACACCCAGGCAGGCAGCAGGCACAGAGAGAGATGCTGCCGTGTTCGGGTATGAGACAGATCAAATCTGATCATCAGTCAGATTTGCTAGTCAAACAGTGAAAGCATTGCTTAAGTAAGCTACTTTGTCATACGCTTATATTATAGTAACATTCTGACTGCTCGATTTTAGTAGTATTTAAACTCTTACTGTACCACTTTATAAATTAGAGTTAACGCAGCTATGTATATACAGAAAAAAACATAGTTTATGTATGCTTTGGTACAACCTGAGTTTCAGGAACTCTCTGGTGCTCTTGGACTGTGTAGCACTTGATAAGGGGGATACAGCTTCAAACAGATGAGAAACAAGCGTTGACAGGAACGTGGAGAAAGGGGACTGCCCCGCACTGGGACCAGAAATACAGCCAAGCACACAACCTCTGGCATGGCCCAACACTGAAATAGAGCTACCAAGTGCCCAGTAGAAAAAAAGCACGAGTCCTGGAAGCTATCTGGCCCCCCAATCTCCACACATAAAGAGGCACATGGAGCACAGGGATGGGCAGGCTAGAAGGCCAGAGTGGCCACCTCGGCCCGGGCGCCTGGCAAGAGAGCTGCAAAGGGCCCAAAAGACCACACGGGCAAATACCAAAGCCGAGGGCTATAGCAAGTCAGCACCCACACGAGGGCCTGTGTCAAAGGACAGTGCCTGACAAGAGGACAGGTCATGTCTGGGGGTTCTCACCTCACACACAACTACAGGACACTGCGGGCTCCAGAACAATCACCGTGCAGTTTAGTTTGTAGACACGGGGAGCAAAGAGCCACTGTAGCCACATAGGAGGCTGCCTTCCCAGGCAGGAGTTACCAAAAGAACAAGCAGAGTACTGCGCTCCTGGGAGCAGCACTAGACCATACTGGTCTGTGGGGACAGGCACCACTGGTCACCAAGAGTGCCAACAGTAGTGATGGTCGCTAGTCCCCAGAGGCGGGGTCAGACCCCCAGTGCTAACAGCTCTCGGTGAGAGGCTGGACAACACCAACCACAAACAGCTCTTTGGGACACTGTGCCGGGCCTCTGATGCCAGGCAATGGCGAGACAGGGCGGAGCCCCAGCTCTGCAAAGGTCTCGTTTCTCTTCTCTCCTCAGACCTTGGCTACTGGATGTTCTCTTTTCTTCTTTCAGCTTCTGGTCCTTCCTCTTTTGCAGAGGTTAGAACCATCACACTGCTGCTCCTGCCCACCCTGTCTTGTACTGTCCAGGGTGCCTCACCCACAAGTCTGACCGGGCCATGTTTCAATCCTGCGTCTGACTGAACCATTTAGCACCAGTCGGCTCACAGCTCACACCCGACTGGTCCATTCCACGATACAGGATGTGCACAGGAAAGGGCGGCGGCTGGGCTCTGGGGAGCCAGAGCTGGCTCGGGTGGGGCAGAGGGAGAGACTAGCAGTGCTGGTGCCATCCTGCCACGGGGGGCCGGGCCCAGCGTCAGTTACCCCATTGCTCACAATGGGAGCAGACTAAGATCCAGTGGAGGATGAGTGGATGTGGGAAGTGGGGTCAGATATACAGCAATATAGCGGAAACCCTTCAAACATTTTATTTAAAAAGCTGACTGCCATCGTATGTGACAGCAAAGCAAACCTGGAAAGAATAACGCCAAGGGAAATGGTGAGCAAAAAGCACAAATATCATGATTTCACATAAAGGAAATGTATGAAGAAAACAAAACGACACAGAGAGAGGGGTTTATCAAATGGAAGGGAGACCGCAGTGTGTGAAATAGGTGAGGGCCAAAGGCTCTATCCTAACAGCTGACTGTGCTGGGTGGGATGGTGACCGGGGCCTGTGGTCACTTCAACATGCAGTTGAGTGTCTACATGTCATAGCCCTAAACCATAAAATATGATTTGTCAAAAATTCATTGCTCAAGAGGCTATGTTGGGAAAATAACTACACCAGACATTAAACAACATACACTAACACATAAAATATAGCAACAGTTTCACTCTAAACTTCCAGGCCAGGTTTTAACAGAAAGCATTGTTTGGGAAATGTCTAAATTTAGAAAGAAAAACACTTCAAAATACTTGTCATTGTGATGATACATCTACATTCTTAGTATAGGCAACTACTTCTGGGCATCAGCTCATCATTCTGATGACATGCATTTTGAAAATACAATAAATAAACAATTACAAAGAAAAAATATATTGTAACTGCTAAAGAATAATCAAGACTCCAATATATGTCACCATTGACTACAAAAGGTATACATGATCAAATGTTTTTTAATGATAGTAAATTTTATTCAGTACACTATGTGCTTTTGTCCTCTACTTCTCATCATATATATTTTCCACAGTGAAATGTAAATGAATGTGTAAACACATCTTCTATTCAATATCAAAGCGAAGGTCAACGCTATTCTGACTTACAGTAAATACAAGCTAACTCCAAGTTCCTCCCACTCTGAAAACCTTCCTAAATGCCCTACTAACATCCTTGTTTCGCAGGCTGTAGATGAGCGGGTTGAGCATGGGGGTTATGATGGTGTAGAACACGGAGACCACTTCTTCCTGCTCCGGGGAGTGGTAGGACTTTGGCACAAGATACTTGGTGATGGCAGCCCCGTAGAACAGCAACACCACAGTCATGTGCGAAGAGCAAGTAGCCAAGGTTTTCCTAAGAGCCTGGCCTGACCCCATGCCCAGCACGGTGGACAGTATGCTGCCGTAGGAGCCCAGAATGGCTGAAATGGGAAGAATGAAAAAAATCACAGCACTAACATAAACACCCTTTTCGTATTGGGAAGTGTCAGCACAGGCCACTTTCAGGAGCGCTGGGATCTCACAGAAGAA